CTCACGTATATCAGGGACGGGAAGGTGTGAAGGCATTTTTGGACCCCGTAAAAGTTGTACCATTTTATTATAAATCAGCCCTTTGGCATACAGATTAACCTAAACATGAGTTAGGTCAGCCCAAGTTAATTTTTTGAGACCTGTAGTTTGTATATGACAGAATTACTTATTTTTAGCCTGACCTACATGTGACGCCCTTTACGTTTAATACATTTCAAACAGGCGTTTCGATTTTGAAAGTGATTAGGAGCAGTTCAAGCTAGATTTCTTTCTGATCCTTGCTCAATATGTTGATAGTTGGGAGAATTTGTGCTACATGAACATCAAGATGATATCCCCAAGAGTGATCTAGTTCTATTTTCTCCTTTATTATACAATATTTTCAAGCAGACAGGTGATGAGAATAAAGAACATCATCAACTAGGGGATATAACTTGATGTGTCACCAAATTCTCATAAGTAACATTAAAAGGAATGTATGGGAATCAGTAACGAGAATTGATATTTATTTCACCAGGCTTACCTAGCGCGACTTCAGGGCTCGCCATCAGGCCTGGTTACATGGCAGATGGATTTCACTGCCTCTGGTTTAGTGATTGACACCGTCACCATAGTAACTGAGAGTATTACAACCGAGAATGGGCAGGTGGACTGGAAACTAGAAGGAGGTGAAGATATTGTGCAGGATCTGGCTCTCAACAGTGGTATGTGTTTAACATTATTTAAAGTAATGCAGCAGTGCTCTTATTGCAGATTGCAGGGGGGAGGGGGGAGGGGGAGGGGGAGGGAGGGGGAGGGAGGGGGGGGGGGGCACTGTGGCCTAATGGTTAGCACATTGAACTTTGGATTGAGAAGTCTGGGTTCAAGCGGCAGCTTACCCAGTACGGTGGAATCTCGATTTCTCAAATCTTCGATTTTTTTCAAACATCCTAATAACTCGACCAAAAAGTTGTTTTGCTTGGATTTGTTTCACTGTAATTTTACCCCAATATTTCAAACTCCCGATTTCTCAAACTAGTATTTATTCTTGTTTTCCTTGGAGGTTCGAGAAATCAGGATTCCACTGTACCTTTATTACAGTGGAACCAATCCTTATGGCCATCTTGTTATCATGGCAACTTTATTTTGGCCCAAGCAAATGCTCAGTCAGTTAGGCCAACCTAATAATTAATACAGTCACCCTGTTAATAAATATGGCCTGATTTTTGTGGTACATGTATGTTGGTGGCCGGATTAACAGCTTCTTAACTTTACAACAAGTGTGGAAGCACAGTGTTGTAATGGTTAGTAGCACATTGGACTCTGTATTGAGTGGTCTGGGTTTGAGTGCCAGCCAGGGTCAGTGTGTTGTGTTCTTGGGCAAGACACTTAACTCTCACAGTGCCTCTCTCCACCCAGTCTGAGTATAAATGGGTTTTGGTGAATTGTTGGGGAAACCTAACAAAATACTGGGGGTAACCTGCAATGGACTAGTATCCCATCCAGGGGGAGTAGCAATACTCCTAGTTGCTTCATGTTACAGAAACCAGGATAAGCTCCTCCAATCCCTTTTATTGGAACAGCTAAGTCTACTGAATATTGTTAACCCTTTCACTCCCAGAGTCAAACCTTGAGTCAATCAATAAACGTGGTTCTACCTTTTAAGTCTGTGGATGAAACCCTAGTGTGTAACCATTCAAATGAAAGCTATTGAGCAGTACTTTCATGTGGTACTGTTTATTATGCTGTACAAGGTGGTTCTAACTTTTAAGTCTGTGGATGAAACCCTAGTGTGTGACCATTCAAATGAAAGCTATTGAGCAGTACTTTCATGTGGTACTGTTTTTGACAATTTTTCAAATTGAAATTCAAGATTTTTCCTCAGTTTTGAACTTAGCTCTTGGGAGTGAAAGGGTTAATCTTGATTCTATCGATTTGTTGTTATTTCCAGATCAAGTATCAATAACAACCTCATCTCTCAGTGGTTGCAAGTCCCTCAAACTCACAGCTTCACTCAGTGGTGGAAATGGAAATGCCGCATGGCAACACGCCCAGCTATTCAGCCAGCCGATCGACAGTGAGGACGATTGTTCTTTAGATGTCACTGTCACTCTAAAGGATTCAGTGTCATAAGTACCATATTTTTTCGATTAAATGCTGGGGGAGTTTATTTAAAACTTGGCCTGGTAGACCCGGCATTTATTTGAACCCGGCGTTTATTAAACACAGGCTTGATGGAATAAATTTGTGAATGGGTAAATGTTTTATATTTTTTACTTTTTAAACCATTGTTGTAATTAGTTTTTAGCCATTAATTTGTAAAGCACTTAGAACAGCGATGAATAAGCGCTATAAAAGTTAGTATTATTATTATTATTATTATTATGAAAAATTTTGATCAGTATTAAATACTGATCAAAATTATAAACTAAAATGAAAATATTATACATGTATTTAGTTGGAGTTCGTTGTGGGTTTGGAGTCATAATTTACGCTGTTTTTTAGTCAAAAGCAGGATAAATATTTAGCTGATTATATTTGAAAAGATTTAAGTAAATTAAGTGTCATGAATTTTTCAGGTCTGTACTTCATTATGTGTCTCAATCTTCCCCAATCTTAAGTTCCTTTTCGGTTTACCGTCAACTCTCTCTAAAGAGGACACCCTCGGGACCAGCTCTAGCTGTCCGCCTTAGAGAGGTGTCCATCTTATAAAGAGTTAATGTGACTTGACACTATAGAAACCCGTGATGTCAGTCTCTTTCTCGGCTTCCGCTCACAAAGACATTCGTCAGATTATACAATAAACAATACCTTTTCTTGTAATCAGATTCACTATGAGATCATTATTGCTGTGGTAGGTCATGCAATTGGAAAAATGATTGATTATGCAAAAATGCACTTCTAGTGTCCGCCTTGAGAGGTATTTTTCACCAGAATTTTGCTAAAAAAGTGTCCGCTGTCCGCCTTAGAGAGGTGTCCGCCTTAAAGAGAGTTTAGTTACAGACAAACAAGTGAAATTCGGCCGGGACCAGCCATTCATGTCCGCTTTACAGTGGTGTCCGCTTTGAGAGAGTTGACTGTAGTATTACCTCTTTGGTGTTTTAATACCTACCGGTAAGTAAATTATTATTTTAAGGTTTCCTTCGATTTGAAGGCAATATTGTATATCGCAAAAATCACTTTTAATAGCTGTATTGAAGTAGTGAAAATTCTAAACGTTCAGGCCCGATCAAACGGTCACAACATTTGTCACAACATTCTCACAACATTTTTGTGAGCCGATGTTGAGACCGTTGAACCACCCCTCACAACAATGTTGTGACAACATTTCTTTTGTTCTTGAAATGTTGAGAGGTTGTTGTGGCCGTTTGACCGGGCATGGTCACAACATGTCACAACAAATGTTGTGACCGTTTGATCGAGCCTTTAGATTTCCAAATTCGCTGACTGTTAATTTACCGTTATCAACTTCAATTAGTTAAAGGGGCTCTGTCACGCTATTTTTTGCTATTCTTCCCTGTATTATTTTTTACAAGCTCTAAACTCAAACATTTGAATGAAATATTAATTCAAAATGGAAATCTCACTTACATAACAAACACAGATGATTTTAAGCATTATTTACCACTTTTTCATACAAATGGACGTTAACCTTTTTGCAATCCGTTTCAATCTTGTTTACTTTTGACCACCCACACTACATTGCGGCTTCCTAGTACAGTTGAACCTCTCTAATACGGACACCGAAGGGACGGAGCAAAGTGTCCGTATTAGAGAGGTGTCCGTATTATAGAGGTCATGAATTTGACGTCACTTTAAAGCCTCTTACTTTTATTGTATGGGCAATGGTACAAGTGATTAATTTTGATCTGTCACCACAAACAGGAAATTGTATTGAATACGAACCGTTATCAGTGGAGTGTCCGTAATAGAGAGGTTAAGTTTATATGAATTTGTTCTCTGGGGCCGTGACTTAATTAGAGTCCGTTGTCCGTATTAGAGAGGTTCGTATTATAGAGGTTTTCTTTATAAAGAATATATGGGCATTTTGCCGGGACCAAGGGAACTGTCCGTAATAGAGAGGTGTCCGTATTATAGAGGTTTTCTTCCGTATTACTGAGAGAGGTGTCCGTGAGGAGAGGTTCGAGGTTCAACTGTATTTGTTTTATGTTTTCCTATGATTTGAAACCATTATTTAGTGGTTTCAATCGATTAAGACTAGTTTGTGTGTAACAGTTTTGCCGAAAATAGCGTGACATAGCCCCTTTAAAATTAACAGTGTTCCACTAAATACTCTGATCTTTGAGATACTAGCTCTAATTTAAGGAACAAATAGATAATAGATGAGGAAGATACTATTCAGTCAGTGGTGTTTCTACCAAGCATAAAATTTACCATAGTTACCTTCCACGCATAGTAATAGATGTTGTAATTTAATTACACTGCTTTCATTAGTGGGAATCATAAATAAATGTCTAAAATTATCAAGAAGTTTATTGACCTTTCTTCTGTGTGTTTTAGTTCTTGGAAATATTTATCCCTACATTTCATTACTTATTACTTGACGGGTCAGCCCTCCCGGGAAATATCTCCCTTTATTCCAAGTTATTTTTGTAAAAAAAGAAGTTATTTTTACATGAATGTTGAAACAACAGAGGTCTACCTAAAAAAAACTGGCCATTTTCGAGATGAATCTCTATTGTTTCAATATTAAGATGTTCATATGGAAATGACAGCCGATCTAAACGAGGTGTGACTTTGACACTTGGACACAATAGACACGTGATCACACCCTTTCTAACATGCACACAATTTTCCAGGTAATCCCCTTTTACACGGAGATATTAACACGTGAATATTGAATATTCATGAGCCAACAGGCGATTAAAAGGTGTGACACAATAGACACGTGATCATGTATTACCTTTTAGAGGCCATGAAACGCACGTATAGCCTCGAAAGAAAAACGTTCCGGGGAAGACACTACTCACTACGTTAGTGGGCACGTTGCCAGCGTGGTTGCCTCGATAGTGTAGTGGTCATCACATCACGCCCGACATGTAACCAGGGAGATGTGTGTTCGATACCCGCTAGGGACAACATGTTTTTTCTTTCTTTTGGGACATGTGTCGGAAGTCATTACACAGTTAAATCTGTGGGTTTATTTTCATTTATTTGTTGCGAGACTTTCCTGGCTTCGAAATTATTCTTCATATAACATGACGGATTTGCTGGCGCGATTGATTTCGGAGTACTCGAGAGTGCTCGCGCTAGTTTCTGATTGGATAATAAGAATCGGAAACTCTTCGAGTGCTTCTACGAAAATTTGCAAAAACCGGTACTTGCTGCCCCGACTGCTCGCATGTTTCTGTGGCTTGAAACGACGATCTTTGTCAGTTTTCCATCCACACACGGTAGTCTTCCAAGAAATGTCAAGTATTTCTCCTTTGACAATAAATAAAGTTTTCCTTTCGCATCTTCTCTTTGACAGCTAATTTTTCGATCCACCACGTCTTCGTCATCTTTATACCAACCTCGTTCCCAGGGTCTCTCTTCTTCTTGGCGGGAAGAAGAGAGACCCTGGGAACGAGGTTGTCTTTATACTCGCTCCACAGGTCTGCAAACGTTCCTTTAGTAGCTGTTAGGAGAGTCATGAAACACATATAAGCCTCACATTATATCACCACAGCCGTCAATAAATTTGCCTCGGACGTCCAGGATAGATAGAAGCTGATCTGAAATTAAAATAGAATAGAATATACAACTTTATTTAGACACTATAAAATTCCTTCAGCCGTTACAATTACATTATGTACTAACTAACTAACTAGCCAAACTATAATTATAAAGGAATACAATAAAAAGCTGCTTTTTGAGCCGTGCCGTGTATAAAATTCTTTCAAAAGCTGTGGTGACGCAATTTAGTTTTAAAATCGATTAGGGATATTGCTTGTCGCAAATTAGAAGGCCTGGAAAGCGGAAATCTGTGCAAAAGACTTATCAAGCAATAAATTAGTACTGTAGTATAGTTTCACAACTATTTTCACAGCAGTAAGCCACACAAGTTCGCCTTGCGGACCTATTTTTATATTTTCCCTCCCCTCCGATTCCTAGCTCCCCTCCCCTCCCTTCTTATCATAATATTTCCCACTAATCTTTGCGAGTGTAGTTCAGCCATGTTGCACGTGTTAAAAAAAACATGGCGAAAAATTGATAGTGCAGCAGGTTTGTTCTTTATTATTTAAAACCGCTTGAACTAGTGATATTATACTTTATATGAAACATCAGCTAACTTGCTTTACTTTTGCTTGCAGCTCGGAGCCAGGAGACACAATATGGAGGAATTACAGAAAGCTTTGTTTACCTCAGCATGAGTTGATGCATGAAGGTAAGATTTTAATTTCACAACTAAGCTTTATACATTGAACTAGATACAGTCGAAGCTCCTGTAAGCGGACACCCTCGGGAAGCAGAAAAGTCTCCGCAACTGGAGCTGGCCGCTAACGGTAATGTGTAAATGAGGTAGAGTTCAAACAGAGTTTTATTAGTAGAGCTGTCCGCTTTAATACGAGAGTGTCCGCTCAGAGAGCTTCGACGGTATTTACATCAACGCCGCATGTACATGTACAGCCATCAGTGTTTCTTCTGCGTCAGTAGAGGCACATATAAATAAGCTGACAGAATCCAAGATGTACATGTACATGTACTGTACATAATTAGACCTGCAAACATAGGGCCATTCCATGTTATATCTTCCCCCCCCTACCCCCCCTCTCTTTGATGAGGTCAGTCAACATTTACCCTCCAAGAATACAAAGATCATTAAAGTGCCGACACAATACCCTCTCCGAAATTATCAAATTTTTCCATTCCCCCAAAGAAAAAAGGCCGTTTTTTTTACTTTGATATTGAGAAATAAAATTTCTGCCATTTATTTTCGATAGCAGTTTATTCATGGTCTGAATCCTGTTAACATAAGTTTGACAAAAATCATTGAAGAATGTACGCCTTCGCTGGCAGCCAAAATGTCAAAACAAAATTATGCTAATCGCGTTTACATTTTATTTCGCTTAGAAAACTATGATTCAAAACATAAAAGCTGCTTTAGAAATGAAAAGTTGTATTAGAGGCGACTATTTTATGCAAACAGATGGAAATTTCATAATTTGAAAAGTAAAATAACGTTCAAGTACCGTGCAGCGTGACAAGCGCCGGTACGGCCAGTATTGTAGTGAGCTTCCCTGCGAAAAAATAGAATGTGAAGCGAATTTGAATCCGCTGTGGTTTTTGCAAAGGACCAACACATCATTGTAATATCCATTCATTATCAAATAAGTATAGGAAATCGTATGAACGCGAGTGCAATTCGTGATTTATGGGCACGAGTGATGTTTTGAAAGTTCTCAAAATTGCACGAGCCTTTAGGCGAGTGCAATTTGAGAACTTTCAAAACATCACGAGTGACCATAAATCACTAATTGCATGAGGAGTTCATACGATTTTTTGTTTATAATATTCTCAACAAAATTTTGCTGCGGCCATCACGCTAAACTCTGCACACGAAACGCTTCACTAGTTTCCAAAGTGCTCACAAGTTTTATTTGAACGCGCAGGCAAACCAAGCGTGAACTTCTTGAAAGAATTGCAGTACTATAGTTTAGAAAACATTTAACTATTAACTTGAAAACTTATTTCAATGCCATTAAGCGGCAAAAACGTCTCTACTTGTCCGGTACCGTTTATCACAATTCCGTATTGCACTCTATAACCTATTTATGCATTCGTCATTGACCAATCAGAAGCTGCATATTTTGTTGAGTATACTATAAATAATATTCTTCACCATTTTGCTCTCAGAATTCTAGGAAAGGCTCAATAATACCGCTACTGCTGTGGCAAAATTCATTCAGTAAACTGAAGCGGCCCGCCATTGAAGCTGTTGTTTTTCTTCTAAAGACTCGATTGATTTCTTTCTCGCCTCCAGCGAAAGGAGATGGGCAGCGAAAGTTGAATGTGATAAGAAACTAGCGCTTAATGTTGCTCCAAACCGCGATGAATATAAAGCCATAAACTTCTAGCCTGTTCCTTCGATGGTACTAGTTCTTGCCCTTGATTCTTTCTTTGAAGTACAAGTCCACTGTAATACTTTCTATCGGATATTTTTCGCAAATCGAGCAAGCTAACACCGAAATAACTAAATAGAACTGTAGTTTGATATCTCTTAAGGATAAGTTAACATCTAATCTAAATCTAAATTGTTAATCTACAAAGGGGCTAGCCCATCACTGCAGATGTGCGGTGCTAGTGCGAGTGCAATATACATGTTAAATTAATCGTGCTAATACAAATGCTGAATAAAATATGGTAAGATGATCATATAACTTAAGCGTGCTCTGGTGCAAGTGCTCAAACATTAAAAATCATATAATTACTCTAGATTAATAAAATGCGCTTTAAGAGCTGCTTTGAAGGTCCCTATAGAGGCCTGGTCAATCACGGAGGCCGGTATTTGGTCAACATCAAGAGTGAGCCAGATGCAACGGATTGCCAAGATTAGCGTAGATTTGTTCACGACTGTTTCATCTCCTTGAATCTCCCGCCGAATTTGAAAACGTTGGCGAACGCTTTCAAATTGAAGCTGAAAACTCGTATGCAAATTAGCTTTAGTGGACCCTACCGCGCATGGGCACCAGGTGACACAGTCCCTTTAATCCCTTGCTCCAAGGGAAACAAAAATTGGTTTGAGAAATCCGGAGTTTGAAATATCGCGGGTAAAACAAATCCAAGGGAAACAACTTTTGGTTAGAGTTGTCAGGGTTTTTGAGAAATCGAGGGTTTGAGAAATCGGGATTCCACTGTATCTCTGAATGAATGAAGCCTTTATTCAAGTGTTAAATAGCAGTGGGGACCCTAAAATAAATAAAAAAGATATATACTAAAATGCTAAAAATAAGGTGATAAAATGACCTCCAGTTGGTGCTAAAATATGCATGGATATTTGTCCGTGGACATTATCTGATTTGAGCAGCCAAACAGCTTTCCAAGAGCAAAGCTTGAGGAAAACTGTGAACAGGAACAGATAAGGAACAGATAATGTCCAAGGACATACATTGTATCCATGCATGTTTTTGCAGCCAAATGGAGGCTATTGTGTTTATTGTGTAGTTCCAGAAAATATCCATACCCCCCACGGAAGGGATTTGGCCTATGACCCCCCCCCCCCCCCTTTTCCAAAATTGGCCCCAAAATATACCCCCCCCCCCCCCCCCCCCCCCCATCCCCTTCGGAATTTCCAAATTTTTCGCACAACCCCTTGGAAACATTTCTATCTCTGATTGAAACGAAAAATAAGCTAATGTGTTGTCCATTTTGCAATTTTCTGGTAAATTATCTTACGGTGAAGATGATGGCACCGTTGCCACTCGACAAAGTTTTTGATTAATTTTTGACATCTTTTGACAACTTTTTGATGACTTTCGGATGGGTTCCGTTTGACTTGACCAATCAAAATCCAAGGAATGTTGGAGGCAGAGTTGTGACATTTGAATGGTTTTAGTTTCTAGTCTAGTTTAAATGTGGCGCCACAAAACTGAACTCATCATAGTTGTCAAAAAGATGTCAAAAATTAATCAAAAACTTTGTCGAGTGGCAATGGTAACGTCATCTTCACTGTAATACTGTGACATACAAATGAGCAAGAAAGCACATATAAATTAATAGATTAGCATCACGTTGCATCGGAAAATGTTTTTTAAGTAATCGCCACAAGCTTTTAGCCAGAAGAGCGTCCAGGTGTCCTGTGGATGCCCAATCCAGGGATGAAATGATGAAAAATGCACCAAAGCTTTAACAAATTTACGGGGAACATGCCTCCAGGACACCCACTTTTCAAATTCTGCTAAAAGCCAGATCTCCACTGCACAGTTTCTGCTTCATTATCCTGACAAAATAAAGAACTAACGGAGACATTCCAACACTATTGAGAAAGAAACGTTTTCCACCGACAGTCTTTAAAACTTACAAAATAATAATTGTGTGTATCAATAATTATTTTCAGTACACCAAATTTGCATGTTGCATTTTCCTGTTTGTAATAGCA